GGGGATAAAGTTCTGATCTTTGTCTCTCTATCTCTCTGCTTTGAGATTCTCTACTCCATATTTTCTCTCCAGGTATTAAGGTTTCTTCTCCGACTCTTAATCCTCTTATTCATTCAAGGGTTTGAAGATTTGTTCTCTAAGCCCCTAATCGAATTAGGGCTCCTATCTTTGTTAGTTTCGGAACAAAAAGGAAACATTTTTTTTTTTTGATTGCTTCGAAAACTTAAATTGTAAGCAAAGTATAAAGTTTCTTGATTTCTGGTTCTGAATGTAGTGTCTCTTTCTCTGCTCTTGATTTAAGGCATAAAGAGACATTTTTTTATGGGTAATAAGCTTGGAAGGAAGAGACAAACTGTGGACGAAAGATACACAAAGCCACAACAAGGTTTATACATGAATAAAGATGTCGACATTAAAAAACTTAAGAAACTCATCTTAGAGTCTAAGCTTGCTCCTTGTTATCCTGGTGATGAAGAAAGCTCTTGCCATGATCTTGAAGAATGTCCTATTTGCTTTCTGGTTTGTGTAAAATGTCTTCTTTTTTTTTCCCTTTGTTAGTGCCTCGTTTAAGAATATGAAAATTGACTAACTCTCTGCGATTTTGTTCTTGTTGTTGTGTATTTCTAGTACTATCCGAGCCTTAATAGGTCAAGATGTTGTAGGAAAAGCATTTGTACCGGTATAATATTCATCAACCTTCTCTACATTTAGAGTCTTTTTCTCATTCATGTTATCATTTGATCTTTTGTATTTTGTTTTTTTAATCTACAGAGTGCTTTCTGAGGATGAAGAATCCTAATTCAGCTCAACCTACTCAGTATCCTTTGGTTTTTCATATTAGGCATTAAGCTTTTGGTCTCTACTCTCTAGTGTCCCTTCTCTTATGTGTACTCCTTAACATATGTGAGATGCCCATATTGCAAAACATCAAATTACGCTGTTGAGTATCGTGGAGGGAAGACTAAAGAGGAGAAGAGCATTGAACAAATCGTAAACCATGATTAAATCTTAGACAGTAAATTTTCTTTATGGAGTACTGACTGATGATTCTGCTCATATTGGTCTCTGTGTTGTGAAGGACGAGCAGCGAGTCTTAGAAGCCAAAATAAGGATTAGGC